GAGACCAATGGGAAGCCAGTCCAGCTCGCGGAGGATAGGTGTAACGTGGGGGTACCTAGGTACACCCAGTATCTCTCGCGCGGCTGCATTCTGGACTAATTGTAGTCTCCGAACGCTTTTCAGGGGCAAAAAGCCTTTTTTTCAATGCACGATTTCAATATGACTCTATTTTCACAGAGGTAAGATATGCTGAGGATGTGTCTACTTTAGGCATATACATTTTAGAACAAAAATACAGTGGAATGGGGAATCACTTAATCCTTAACAGTAAGATTAAAGTAAATGTATCTCTCATAATACTAGAGACATTCTGCAAGTAATTTGTTGATTCAGCTTGACTGGACAACTGAGTCTCCTAAATTTATTGCTCATTACTTTTTAAAAAATACCTAATTGAATGCATCTCTCTATTGGAACATTCCGCCCATCAGCATTATCCATTACAGATCCCAGCTTAAATCGAGTTGAACCAGTTTATAGTCGTTAATGTTTTACCCTCACCCACACAGGGAATTATTAAAACGTGTCCTTGAAGAATTTAGTTATACCAAAATCCTTAAAATCATCAACAGTTAGGCTTCAAAGCTAAGATATTTCCTTACCTCTTCAACAAAAAAACAATTCAAGGACTTTGAAGAAATATATGATAGGAGGGGGAAGTGACTTCTTCTTGTTAAACTTACTGTAGTTGAAACACCTGTGTTTTTTTTTAGAAATATAAATTAAGCCTGCCTAAGGCAGACTGTAATTAATGTTTTATAATTTGATAAATCAAAACCAGCTCTGTGAACAAATTATTAATCCCAGGAGTATGCAGGCTTCCAGTCTTTTGGTCGAACTTCACATATTTCCATCGAAGTGTGGGTTGAAGAAAAATATAGTTTCCATCAAGTAACTGTAGGAGGTGGCAGAATTATTTTGCACCTTGTGGGACTGGACTTCTTATTCCTGCGCAACTATTTTCAAACACTGCCAGCCTACCCCAGTCACCATGTCAACTGCAATCCATCTGCTTCTCTGTATAAAACCTTGTTTGCCTTCATGTAACAAAAAGAACTGAGCCAGCCCTGTTTTTATTTGCAATCGACAAATACAGGAATACGTAGCCCGGTGCAAGAAATGCGATAAACCATCCCTTGACTGTAGCTGGCCGCCTGAGAGCACCTGAAAAACGTCTCTCCAACTTCTCATAAAAAACTAATAATAATGCCCATGGAACTTCACAAACATTTAAAGATGATATATGTCAACACTCATCAGTAAAGAATATAAATGTGAGAACAACATGTTTTCAAGGCTTCAAGAACACTCGAAGAACCAATGGATAAAAAGATACGTTTCCAGTAAAATGTTAAAGCTGGGATGAGAATCTCCCACCCACCCCCTCCGTTTTCTCTTTGATTGGCAAATTATTGGGGGATGCAGGCTTATAATTAATTAGGGCCCAGTGGTGGGTTTCAAAAATTGTTCGAACCTACTCTCTGGGTGTGGCCTCCTTTGTGGGAGTGGCTTTTCACCCAC